GTGTACCTTGCATATTATGAGAGAAAAGGCATTAGAATTACTCCAAAAAGCATTATTATGCAATAAAACATTATAAATAACAGTACATGATGCAAAATGGACGTATCAAGCTGTCCGGCCCTTCTCTTCCTACCCCTGTATGTTCCCCATCCTTTCCCCATCCATGATATCAAGCACCGGCACTGGCAGAGGCAACTGATCCAGCCATGATCACGAATGGGACACCTTCATCCGTGAGGCGGTGGACGACGAAGAGCTTGCCCTATGCATCGCGCTGCAGCGCTCGCGGTGGACACGGGCGTCAACTCCGGCTTTGCTCCGTCCCCTGTCGCCCGCCACCACGGCGTGGACGCCGTGGCCGGCCCGTTCCGCACCGCACACAGCTCCGCACGACCGACCTACCACGCATTGCTGGCCCGCCGCCCTCCTAACCGTCCAACAAATGTTCCTCAAGGGCATCGGTGGGTGCTCATGTCAGACCCGTCGGCACCACAGACGCGGACCTTTTAATCTAAGGTGCTTGCCGTCCGTTGCGAGACGCATCAGGCTAGGTAGAGGGCGGTGATGTCAGAGGCGATGGTCGTATAGTCCTCCCGACGCCGTCACGGATTGCCGGCGGTGCTTGATGAGAGGAGAAACTCCTCGCAATTGTCTACTGTCGCTCAGCTATGACAGCGGAGATGGACGCCCACCGGCTCCATTGGAAGAACCCTGAAGGCAGTCCGGCTCGGTCTGGAGCAGTCGACACGCGAGGCGGCGGAGGGGGCGATGGCGGATGCGAGAGTGGCAAAGCTCGTGAGGTAGCAGAACCGCGTCGTCTAGAGGACTGCCAACTACATCGACTCCTCCTACTACTACTATGGCTCCGACAACCCTCACGTGCCGCTGGTGCCTACACGAACATCTAGCCACGCTGGTGACCGGAAGTGCAAAGGACCGGCGAGGAAGTGGTGAAGAAGCTCAGCCCTTTTCCGTCTTTATTGCTGGTTTTAGTAATTTTACTTTAGAACTATGCTCGTCAGTAAACCGTGGTGGTTGTTTGCTCTATGTTCGGATTACATGGATTTCTATGTCCGAGTTATGTCAATTTCTATGTTTGTTTGTTCGGTGTCTATTTGTTTTGTTGATGATCTCCGTTGTTTTGTTTCATGTTGGATGTGTAGTATGAATTTAGGGTACTGGATATGTGGTACACGGTTGTGGACGCGGCGATTTGAGAATTGACCAGTCACTGTCCGCGGACATTCCCGAGCGCATCCTTACGCATATATGTTGCCGGATTTGGATGCCTAGTTGTCGATGATCTTAGCCATCAGATGATCGGGGTTCTTTGCATGGCATTTAAGTGGGTTATAGACATCGTGTACGACCAATGCTAAAACACGTGGTATCTTCTGCATCCATGGCCATGGATGCGACGATTGGATGTTTGAACACTGGACTTTTCTATAGAACGGAGACAATTGCCCAGCCTTAAGAATGAGACGTTCATTTGTAAAAGGTTCGAAACAAACAACAAATAATATGCAAACGAAACAAATGTTCGATACATGACCAGAAGGCCTACATAGTGAAGCTTTTTTGCGGGTCAAAATGGAATTTTATTTCATAATAATGGGGTTACAATTTCGAGACAATAGTTCCTCACACCAAGGAGTACCCGAATGCGTTCATACCGCAATACAAGCTTCGATACGGCTATAATTGCCAATTGATGTGCTACCCTATTTTTATTTATGTAAAATTTCCGAGGAACAAATTCCCTAGCTTTCATGATAGATGTAATCTCAACAGCTAGATGACCATAGGCCGGCCAGTAAAGAGCCTGGCCCAAGAGGATAAACAACAGAGTCAGTGAATCTGCTTGAACAATTACTGGTTTGTCTGTATGCTGAATGGCAAGTGGCATACCATGCATAAGTGCATGAATATCTGCTTCCAGGGCTTTAGTACAATGAAAGATGTACCTATATGCCGCCAAGATCACCGGTCCGTCCTCCCTGCATAGCACCATGCCAATTGATGCCCGGCCGTCCTAGCCCAAGAAAGAGTCATTGACAAACAACGCCACCCAACCCAGTGGTGGTGGTGGCCAAGGCGAGGGAGGCTGAGTAGTGAACGTAGGTTTGAACATTGGACTGCATAACTCTATAAACTGCAAAACTAGATATTCTATCGTCTATAAGTTCTTTAAGGAGGGTAACCTCAGCCTTTGCACGTTTGTGATGCACATAACCATTTTTATTAGAAAGGTCTTAGTTATCCAATACACTAACAAAATTTAAAAAGTAACCACACCCAATCGAAACAAATATACATGTCAACATACATAACTCCGAGATAAAAAAGGAAGACGATAATCGGCAAGGAGCATAATTATATGCCTACACACTCGCCAACCAAATTGGTTGAACAAAATTTGTGTGACCATCTCCGACCAGCTGCACCCAAACGCAACATGTTCCTGAGTGTCCACACGCTAAAATAATGACCCTGTACGGATTATCGTATCAACCTGAAAATGGCCTGCAATTTCTTTAAGTATTGTACCGTTGAAATGATATCATTAGGAGCATGCGAGGGAGCCAACGGTAAGGCACATATTTCAACACGGATATGTCCCTTAAGATTGGGTTGAATGCCTACCAATCATTCCCCAATTTTTTTAGTATACTAGTTGGCGGTGGTAAATTAAATGCTATATGAAGAGTTTGCCAAATCAAATATGCAAAAGGACATAGAAGGAAAAATATTTTGAATTGTCTCCTCTTGATCAAAGAAACAACATTTTTGCATTCGTGCCAATTGCACTTGCCCTAAGTTGTCATTGGCGAGAATGACCCCACACTGCAAAAGTCAAATGCAAAACTTATTTTTTTATCGGAACTTCGATCTTCCAAATATGTTTTGCGCGAAAGCTTTGCCATGTGTTCATTAGATCCGCATAGATGGACTTGACCGTGAAGGCGCCATTAGTATTCAACCTCCATTGAGAACCATCTAGTGCATGTGTTAGGTTCACTGACATCAACCTTCGCACTAACTGTAGCCACGATGTCTATTTCCCCACGATCAAAACCCTATAAGGTGAATATTAAGATGACTCGCCCCAAAAACATGCAACACATGCATTCTTTCTCTGCAGAAAGTCTTTATCCTTTGATTGCGTAAGTGTTAAAGAAATGAGAAAGTATCCTATAGAGACCATTTTTAGGAAATGGTATCAAGATGGACCATGAGATCATCATCTCACTATGAGACATGACAACGCATCACATAAGAATCATGGGCTAATCCCTTCCATCCAACAGGAACATAGATAAATCTTAGGTCAAAATCAATAGCCGCTAGCACATTTTGTGTGGGAATAGACATTCTACACCTGAACATATCATGCATGTGGATAGGTACACATGCCGTTTTATGAATACCATCTAGGACACATATGCATCCGTGCGAAAAAGAGAGAACTAGTTTTTAACAGGCTGAATGGAACCTATAAATGTTGCAAAGGTTAGTGAATAATTTTGGATGTGCCTCTTTGGGGCAAGGGGTGAGTTTAGATTGAATGAAATAGAGTCACTTCCTTCTTGGCACATGCCCTATCCCTACGAGCACCTTCGACAAATCATGAGATTGACGAAGTTGGCACATGCACCTCGTAGTCGATGAAAATGTCTCTTCCCACTAAATGCACATAATCGAAATTCATGAATGAAATAAATTCAGAAAAATACAAGCATCCATACCAAGTCCATGGATTTGAACACGGTTGGGATGCTTTCACCATAAGAAACATAACCATGCTCAGTTTGTACTATGACAACAATTTTAATCACCTGACCTTAGATAGTGTGGTGAAAAAAGATGGCAAAATTAGTATATGAACCAAACATGCCCGTAGAATGGACAGTATATTTCTCATTTCCCTCACAAAAATTATATTTCTCACTTCTAATATGACAACAGAAAGTAAAATAGTACTTCCTCCGTCCGGAAATACTTGTCATCAAAATGGACAAAAAAGGATGTATCTAGAACTAAAATACATCTAGATACATCCCTTTTTATTCATTTTGAGGACAAGTATTTCCGGATGGAGAGAGTACTATATACACAACGTAAGATAAATATATTAAGTACTGTATACTACTCCCTCCGTTCCTAAATATTTGTCTTTGTATAGATTTTAACAAGTGACTACATATGGAGCAAAATGAGTGAATCTACACTTTAAAATATGTCTATATATATCCGTATGTGGTGTCCATTTGAAATCTCTAAAAAGACAAATATTTAGGAACGGAGGGAGTATGATTCTTGCATGCCGTGCACGTAATGGCGGTCAAAGTTTGAAAATACAGTACTGATAGCACGCATAATAATGTGTCATATTCATGGACAGATCAAGTCTCTTGAGTTGGTCACCAAACAACACGACCCCGTATTTAGAGGGCATTTAGACCTGGCTAAGGTCTCGCTGACTTGACCACTGACAACTGGCTGGTCGACCCATGGCCGTCACCACCAGGCCGGGCCCCACCAGATGAGGACGCGTTGACCAGTCAGCGTCCGGTCATCAGGGGGCAAGGGCAGCCGTCCACGTGCCCTGCGCGCCAAATCTGACGGTAGGTCGTCGCCACTGTCTTTTAATGGAATCCCTCCCGACTGCCAGCTGCCGGCCCAGGAGAAGCACCGATGGAAAAGCTTCGCTTTGGAGCACCCCACTAACAATAGCGAGGAAAAACAGGGTGGCAAAGGATTGGACTGATCCATCGGTTTGGGTTGTTGTTTGGTGGAAAGAAGCGAGCGAATTCGCGCGGTTTTGGATGGCGCCGAGGTGAAAGCTTCGGCCGTGCGGAGAAATTTCATCAAATTTTGGTGGCGGTGGAGGAGGAAGCTGCGATCTTGGCGAGAAATTTCGGAGGCTGCGACTACCGACTATATCGGCGAGGAAGTCCGGGTAAGGAAGGGGGGAGGAGGGGGAGGTGAGGCGCGCGATGCTGCGGTGGCTGGCGCGGCCGGCTGAGCGGTGCCTGGGGCGCGGCGGCTGCGGTTGCGGTAGCGGGGCAGGCGGGGGAGGGGACGGGTTGCTGTGGCACGCGGAGCTGAAGCCGCACGCGTCCGGGGAGTACTCCTTCGCCGTGGCGCAGGCCAACGAGAGGCTGGAAGACCAGGGCCAGGTGGTGACCTCGCAGGCGTCCACATTCGTCGGGGTGTACGACGGCCACGGCGGGCCCGAGGCCTCGCGCTTCCTCTCCTCCCGCCTCTTCCCGAACCTCCACAGTGAGTGCGCCGCTGTATAAACTCCATTTACGAGCGCTTTTCTTTTTAGATTTAGCTTAGACTTCCTGTAAGTAATTTGCTGAAATGGACTAGATGACTAAATTCTTGATGTTCTACACATGTTTCTCAAAGTAGTACTGTGAGTTTGAACCAAATGTCATGGTGGTTTGTTTATATAATTCTGTTACGATACTTCATTTTGC